TAATTATTCAGAAGGTGTCATATGTACATAAAATAGTACTTTTTCCAGTGGAGGATTGACTTAAAACACAATTTCTGAGCAAAGATGAGTAGAGAAAAACATCAAAATTAGCAAACAAATATGATAAAAAGCAGATGGCAGATGGCTCTACACTGATAAAGACCACTTTGTTTCCTCTCTGGTTTCCATGTTGAGGAGGGATTATCTCCAGAAACTATAGATCACACAATAATGACAACGGCTAACACTGGATTAGCTGGATGGAGGAAATGTACTTAAAGTAGTACTTTTTCCATTGGAGGATTTACTTAAAACACCATTTAAGAGGAAAGATGAGGAGAGAAAACATCTAAATTATTCAGAAAGTGTAATATGTACATAACGTAATACTGTTTCCAATGGAGAATTTACTTGAAACGCAATTTTAGAGCAAAAATGAGGAGTGAAAACATCATATGTAACAAACAAATACGATAAAAAGCATAATTATTTAGAAAGTGTCATAAGTACATAGCGTAGTACTTTTTACAATGGAAAATGTACTTGAAATGCAATTTTAGACCAAATATGAAGAGCGAAAACAGCATAATTATTAAAAAAGTGTCATATGTACATAACGTAGTAATTTTTCCAATGGATGATTTACTTAAAACTATTTCAGAGCAAAGATTAGGAGAAAAAACATCAAAATTAACAAACAAATATGCTGAAAAGCATATTTGGATCATTCTAATTATTCAGAAAGTGTCATATGTACATAACGTAGTACTGTTTCCAATGGAGGATTTACTTAAAAAACAATTTCAGAGCAAAGATTAGGAGAGAAAAAGTCATATATAACAAACAAATATGATGAAAGCATAATTGGATAATCATAATTATTTAGAAAGTGTCATAAGTAAATAGCGTAGTACTTTTTCCAATGGAAAATGTACTTGAAATGCAATTTTAGACCAAAGATTAGGAGAGAAAACATCCTATATAACGCACAAATATGATGAAAAGCAAAATTGGATGATCATAATTATTCAGAAAGTGTCATAAGTACATAACGTCGTACTTTTTCCAATGGAGGATTTACTTGAAACACTATTTCAGAGCAAAGATGAAGAGAGAAAACATCATATATTACACAAAAATATGATGAAAAGCATAATTGGATGATCATAATTATTCAGAAAGTGAGCAAAGAAACGTGTATTTTCCCTGGATGTTTGGCATCCTTAATATAAAGTCGGCATTTTTCTGCAAATCTGGAGACAGAATCTAAATG